TACTGATAACTGTATCAGTAACCTATAAGGATTTAAGTGAACCGTGGAGTTCTTAGAATCTTCTATAGGAATGCACACCAGACTCTGATATGAGAGTTGGCAAAAAAAAAAAAAAAAAAAAAAAAGTTGTCAAGTTGGCAACCCATCTAATTTTAAAACAGAGTAGAATATATTCATATGTAGATTCTTAGGAGTAGGGAAATATAGGGGCCCACCATGTACTACATCACAGCTGCTGACATAAACAAGGAAGGGTGCTTCAGGAGTTAATGATCTACATGCCCTATGCATCCCATCACTTGCCAATAGCTGCTTTCTTCAAAGCCTTCTTCCCACACAAGAGCCTCTACCACCACTAGGAGTCCCCAGAGGGACACAGTCTGAATAGGAATCTGTCATAGTAAATACTGTCTCTTCTTTTGGCAGCTGTTGGAGGAAACACCTGCTGAAAGGGCCTTAAGGCTTGTAGACAAAAGCATTTAAATTTGTTGTTCTCTGTAGATCATATTGGACTTTTAAAATTCTCTCAGAAGTATCTCATGTAAATATCTTCACGTCAGGTGAAGAGTCTTATGTCAGAGTAGACATTGACAATTACTGTAAAGGTGAACATGCTTAGAAGACTCAAAAATAAGCAAATGAGAGGTTACCAGTATCTAACTGAACTAGGTACAAAATTACATGGTAAATGGGTGTATATGAGATGCATGTTAACTTGGAAACTAATTCTTGATGATGTAATAATCATCTTTTATATCCCACAGGCATTTAGAAGAAATGCACTATGAGCACCAACTTCTGCATCTGCCTAGTCATATTTAAAGGAACAGAAGAAATGTTTGTAATTAATCCGCCCAGTAAATACCAGCTCATAGCACTAGGCAGGTGCACATCTAGATAAAATTTCTTGCAGCTAATTTAAACTTTCTACACACACCAGTAGATAATCTCAATGTAAATAATACATTTCTTCTTGACCCTTTAATGTAAGCCAACATGTAGAGGAGGATCTTGTCTTGTATTCTGTGTCACATATATTTCTGAATGTGTTTTAGCATTTGTGAATAGACTTAATAAAACCCATATGAAAATGGCACCTTTGGCAGAGCTATATATTTTCCTGAAACTAAGATTCAATGTAGTGGTGAACAGAATTAGGTACCAGTTTCCCATTTAAAGCCCGAGCTGCATATTAATTTACTGATCTTTTTAAAATTTTTAAATTTATCTAGAAGTTTATTGTATAGACACTATCTCAGAGATGGAGCTTATAAATATGTATATATATATTTTTTGGCAGCTGGCCAGTAGGGGGATCTGGACCCTTGACCTTGATGTTACACCATGCTGTAATCAAGACTTTATTATACTCTAGTTTTTCCTATGCTTATAGAGAAGAAATATTGTTGAGGTTTTAAAATTTCACACCTGTTATAAAATATTGGAATGCATTTTTCAACTCAGACATTTACATGTGAAGCTTTTTTGAACTAAACTACACAGACTATACGGGATTTAAAGAAAGACCTTCACTATGGGGCAGTATGCAATCCCTTCTAAATTATTTTGAAGCCTAATTTAAATTTCTGTTATTCTGTGATGGTGTTTTGTATCATCATGTTTGTGCTGTCACAAATAAAGGAGAGGGGGTAATCACAGAATGTTTTATCTTGATATCACTATTAGTTTTTAAAATATTGTACTTTTCTTGACCATTTCCGCAGGGAAAAAAATGCTGTTCCCTTGGTATTCACCCTAAGTTTTCACAAAATTAGTGTAAGGTATTACCATATAATTTGATTCAGTATATCGTGAAAATAAAAATACTATATGAAAATCCAAAACAAAATTTAACAAGTTAAGGTTGAATAACTCTTTTTCCACTTGGAGAAATTTCAGATTCTATTAAAATGATGAAAGTGTGTGGGTTTTTTTAAACTATTAGTATAAATGACATAAGGTACTAAGCAGTAACCCAATTGACAATTAACCCTAATTGCCTTCATTAATGATTTTCTTGGTATTATTTAAGATTTTTTAAAAGATAATCTGTGTGCTGGGCTGACCACTTATCTCAGCTAGTTAGAGTGTGGTGTTGATAACACCAAGGTTCAGGATTCGATCCCTGTACCAGCCAGCCATCAAACAAAAAGAGAATCTGCTAAATATTCAGAATACTTTGTAATACAGTCCTTATAGTAGGACGTTACCAAAAACATACTAAATAGGATTGTTCTAGTATTGGAAACTAACATTAGGAATAAGCCAAAACGTTTTATAAAGTAACCTACATTAGTCAGGAAATACAGGGTTAAGAAGTAGATGGGTTTCATATGTAATCCAAGTTATGTAGGTATGTGCTTAATGCTATTAAACCAGTTACTGTATGTTTGACCTCTTGATATACTAAGCTTTTTTGCCTTTCACAACAGCTGGGCCTGCTAAGAATCATTTCCCAGTTCTCTTCATTGTAGATCAGATGACTCTCGCTTTATCACCCTTGGAGGCCACATGAAGGACAAAGCAGAAAGATCCACACACAAAACTAATGTTTATATGGGGGGAGGGGTATGTGGGGGATGTACTTGGCTCTGATCTTCCAATGAACATAAGAAAGACCAATTGAGACTTGAAACCACTGTTACTCCAACCATTATTTAGTTATATCCTATCCACCTCTTATTCTCTTTCTATGGAACAGAGAGGCTCCTTTGGCTGCCTTGACTTTTGTAAATGTTTCACTTACGTAGTTGTGGTTTATCATTTAGACAGAATGCTACATCGGGGATTTTTCTCACCTCCCTAAGGCCTCAAGGGAAAATGACTTCTGTGTCCCTCATATATGATACATGAACATATACTCTATTCTCTTCATTTTAAGAAGCAATCCTAAGTTTACTGGCAATGGAGGAAAATGCATTTCTCAGAAATGCCTTTTCCATCTAAAAATGTACTTGAAAATAACTTGAAAGGGTTCATTTTTGACAGCTACATTAGTGAAGAAAGTGAGAAATCTATCTTTAATATTTTTGCATAACCTAAATATCTTTGTATTAAAACATCCCTATAATCCTTAGTTTAGCTGAGAGAAATACTTTGGAATTGCCCACTTCTGTGTTCTTAATTCATCACTGAATATTTTTGGAACCTAATCCCTCTAAGTTGAAATACACTGTTAAACTAGTTTCTAATAAACATGAGAGATACTTGACCTATAAGATAATTGCTGCAAGTCTCCATAAAAGCTGCAATGTAACTCAACATGATTGGATCAAATTGGGAAAAATTTTTTATTTACAGAATTTACCTATAAAATACCTTGAATACAGGTTCATTCTGTTTTATTCATGTTTATATACTTTTTAAAGTTTCTCCTCCAATTATGTAGAAGTTATAGCTTAAAAAATACGTCATTGATTTAAATCAAAATTCTGTGTTAAACACAAGTATACTATTACAAAAAAAGAAACTAAAAAATTAAGGCTACACCAACCAGCCAGCCAAGATGCTGACATTTGGGCACAGTGATTACAGATGGTGACCATGGACAGCGATGTTCCTGCTGATTCGGCAAAGATTCAAGGCTGCTTTTCTGTGCTGACCTGCCCTTTGAATCTTTATGCACGTTTGCTCTGAGAAAGAAATACTTCTTGATTTTTGCTTTGTCTAAACCCACTTCCTTTATCAGACTAAGGAACACATACTTTCTTGCATCACCCTATGGCTGTCCATATCCAGAAATAAATTTTTGTGTATGTGGTTTCATTTGCACTTTAAAATATGCTTTAATGGCTATCTTCTGAAAGAAGTATATTCATTAAAAAATAGATTGATGATAAAATGATTTATTTTTTATCACACAAACTAAAGAAAACATATCTTTGAGAAACTACAGTATACAATGGATATAATATATTATGTTTTTACCAGTTGAATATGATAGGAAAGATGGGCTTCTGCTAATATAGAGTGACACAGTATTAACAGGACAAGGTTAACATGAAGCATATGAATCAATGTTTATCGCAGGTTCAGTAACCTTGAACCAGGTCATAACAAAAATATAGAATAGAAGGATGGAATCCTGTATAAGGCAGTTCACCTTAAACAGGTGATCCTGAAAGTTCAGAACTAGTGACCATAAGTAATTAAAAAGAATTCACTCAAACCACTTAGATTTAAATTCAGAAAAAAATCATTTTTTAATTGGATTCAAGTAAATCTGCATTCTTGTAAATAAATAAGTTTATTTGCCTTGATTAAAAAATCAAGTTTGTGGGCCGGCCCGTGGCTCACTCGGGAGAGTGCGGTGCTGATAACACCAAGGCCATGGGTTCGGATCCCATATAGGGATGGCCAGTTCGCTCACTTGGGAGAGCGTGGTGCTGACAACACCAAGTCAAGGGTTAAGATCCCCTTACCGGTCATCTTTAAAAAAAAAAAAAAAAAAAAAAAAA